ACGACGCCGAGCGCTACGACGCCGTCCAGCACTGCCGCTACGTGGACGAGGTGGTGAGGAACGCGCCCTGGACGCTCAGCCCGGAGTTCCTGGCAGAGCACAGGGTAAGGGGGGACAGCCCACCCTCCGCCTTCAGGGGTTCGTGAAGCCCCCGGCAGGAACCCAGCTGGGCTCCTTTCCCCCCCCCGACCCCCCAGAGATCCAGCCAGTGGTCAAAGATTAAGAACTTCCTTCCTTCCTATTTTTCTTCCTTTTCTTATTTCCTTCTTCTAACTCTTCTTCTCATTTCTCTTTCCCATTTCCTTTCTTTCCTTCCTTCTTTCCTTCTTCTATTACCTTCCTTTCTTCTCATTTCTCTTTCCCATCTCCTTCCTTCCTTTCTTTCTTCCTTCCTTCCTATTTTTCTTCCTTTTCTTCTTTCCTTCTTCTATCTATCTTTCCTTCTTCTCATTTCTCTTTCCCATTTACTTTTTTTTCTTTCCTTCCTTCCTCTTTCCTTCTTCTATCTCCTTCTCATTTCTCTTTCCCATCTCCTTTGCTTGCTTCTTTCTTTCTCTTTCTTTCTTTCTTTCCTTCCTTCCTTCCTTCCTTCCTTCCTATTTTTCTTCCTTTTCTTATTTCCTTCTTCTATCTCTATCTTTTCTTCTTCTCATTTCTCTTTCCCATTTTCTTTCCTTCCTTCCTTCCTCTTCTTCTATCTCATTCTCATTTCTCTTTCCCATTTCCTTTGCTTGCTTGCTTGCTTCTTTCTTTCTTTCTTTCTTTCTTTCTTTCTTTCTTTCTTTCTTTCTTTCTTTCTTTCTTTCTTTCTTTCCTTCCTTCCTTCCTTCCTTCCTTCCTATTTTTCTTCCTTTTCTTATTTCCTTCTTCTATCTATCTTTTCTTCTTCTTTTCTCTTTCCCATTTCCTTTCCTTCTCAATTTCTTCCTTCCTTCTTTTCTTCTTCTGTTACCTTCCTTTCTTCTCATTTCTCTTTCCCATTTCCTTTCCTTCCTTCCTATTTTTCTTCCTTTTCTTATTTCCTTCTTCTGTCTCTATCTTTTCTTCTTCTCATTTCTCTTTCCCATTTCCTTTCCTTTCCTTCCTTCCTTCTTCTATCTCCTTCTCATTTCTCTTTCCCATCTCCTTCCTTCCTTCCTTCCTTCCCTTTCTTTCTTTCCTTCCTTCCTTCCTTCCTTCCTTCCTTCCTTCCTTCCTTCCTTCCTTCCTTCCTTCCTTCCTTCTTCTATCTCCTTCCTTTCTCTTTCCCATCTCCTTCCTTCCTTCCTCTCACCCTCCCTCCCTCCCCAGTTCTTTTAGGATACCCAGACCCATAATGCCCCTAAGCCACCCTCCCTGCCCCGAGCATCCCCTCCTCCCCCGCTAACAGCTGTCTTGCCCGACCCCCAGATCGACTTTGTCGCCCACGATGACATCCCCTACTCTTCGGCCGGCAGCGACGACGTCTACAAACACATAAAAGAAGCAGGTGAGTGGGCGGCCCCGGAAAACCCCACAAGCTCTCCCTCCTCCCTCTTCAGCTGCTCCGGCCTGAGCGAGTTGGCTGAAGGAACCTGTTGGGCTTCTGCCTGATTCGGGAGTCGGGTGAGCTGCCGGGAGCAGCCTGCTCCTGGGCTGAACTCCAGGGGCCCCACGATGACTTCCCAAAGTGGGCCAGGCGGCACGATGGAAAGGACTATTCTTGGCCCCACTTAATTTCTCTTCTGAAGTCCTGTAGAGCCTTTAGTGCTCTCTGAAAGAGAAAGAAAGGAAGGAAGGAAGGAAGGAAGGAAGGAAGGAAGGAAGGAAGGAAGGAAGGAAGGAAGGAAGGAAGGAAGGAAGGAAGGAAGGAAGGAAGGAAGGAAGGAAGGATGGATTGTGGGGTCCTCGGTGCTCTCTGAGCTGGGTGGTTTCCTTGCAGACATTTCATGACCCAGCTAGGCAACATCATCAGTGCTAGAAGGGGATGGGGTACATGGAGTGGAGGAGGAGGAGGAGTGTGAGGTCCTTGGTGCTCTCTGGGTGGTTTCCTCGCAGACATTTTACTACCCAACTAGAGAACATCATCAATGCTAGATGGGGATGGGGGCCGGTAGAGTGGAGGAGGGGGAAGAGGAGGGGCAGGAAGGAAGAGAAGGAGAATGAGGACTAATGTGGCATCCCTGGCGCTCCCTGAAGTTGTTGGTTTTCCTGCAGACGTTTCATGAGCTATGGAGGTAACATCATCAGGGGTAGAAGAGAGAGGGGTTTGTGCAGTGGAGGAGGAAGAGGAGAGGAAGGAAGACTGTCCTTGATGCTCTCTGAGCTGGGTTGCTTTCTTGCAGACATTTCATGACTCAACTAGGCAACATCATCAGTGTTAGAAGGGAGGAGGGCTTGCGGAGAGGAGAAGAAGAAGAAGGAGAGAGAGAGGAAAGAAAGAGAGAGAGAGAGAGAGAGAGAGAGAGAGAGAGAGAGAAAGAAAGAAAGAAAGAAAGAAAGAAAGAAAGAAAGAAAGAAAGAAAGAAAGAAAGAAAGAAAAGAAAGGATTGAGGGGTCCTTGGTGCTCTCTGAGCTTGGTTGTTTCCTTGCAGACGTTCCATGACCCAGATAGGCAACATCATCAGTGTTAGAAGGGAGGGTGCTTGCAGAGAGGAGGAGGAAGAGGAGGAGGAAGAGAGAAAGAAAGAAAGAGAGAGAGAGAGAGAAAGAAAAGGAAGGAAGGAAGGAAGGAAGTACGGACTCTGGGGGTCCTGGGTGCTCTCTGAGCTGGTTGATTTCCTTGCAGACGTTTCATGACCCAGCTAGGCAACGTCATCAGTGCCAGAAGGGAGGGCCGTGTGATATCTGATTCCAAATAGTGGGGGGGGGGCTTGCCCTGTCAATGTGGGTAGAAGAGTTCTTAGCGGTTCCTTTTGAAGTCCTCCCTATGACATCGAGTGCAAGTTTTCAGGAAGGGAAGCAGGCCTTTCCGTGTCGTATCTGTTGCGAGTCCTGCTGGCTGCTGCCTAATTCCATATCTCCTTGGCTGCCCTATAGGAATGTTTGCCCCGACGCAGAGGACCGAAGGCATCTCCACCTCGGACATCATCACCCGCATCGTCCGGGACTACGACGTCTATGCCCGGCGGAATCTGCAGAGGGGCTACACGGCCAAGGAACTCAACGTCAGCTTCATCAACGTGAGTTTAGCACGCATTCAGACGGTCGTCTCGCCTCGTCCCGAAGGAGGGAGAGAGGCTCAGGACTCCACTCAGCTAAAAAAAAAAGACGAAATAGGGAAAGAAACAAGGATTCTCAAAATGCTGCAACTCTTGGATAAAGAAATGTGGGTTCCTAGAATGGAATGGAATGGAATGGAGTGGAATGGAATGGAATGGGAATAGGAATAGAGAAAAGGAATAGAGTAGAGTAGAGTAGAATAGAATATGGAATGGAATGGGAATAGGAATAGAGAAATGGAATAGAATAGAGTAGAATAGAATACAATATAGAATAGAATAGAATAGGAATAGAGAAAGATTAGAATATAATAGAATAGAATAGAATATATAATGGAATAGGAATAGAATAGGAATAGAATAGAATAGAATAGTAGAATAGGAATAGAGAAATAATAGAATAGAATAGAATAGAATAGAATAGAATAGAATAGAATAGAATAGAATAGGAATGGAGAAATAATAGAGAAAGGAATAGAATAGAATAGAATAGAATAGGAATAGAGAAAGAATAGAATAGAATAGAATAGAATAGAACAGAATAGAACAGAATAGAACAGAATAGTGGAATAGAATAGAATAGAACAGAATAGAACAGAATAGAACAGAATAGAACAGAATAGTGGAATAGAATAGAATAGAATATAGAATGGAATAGAATAGAATAGAATAGAATAAGGAATAGAATCGAATAGAATCGAATAGAATCGAATAGAATCGAATAGAATCGAATAGAAGAATAGAATATAGAATGGAATAGAATAGAATAGAATAGAACAGGAATGGAGAAAGAATATAGAAAGAATAGAATAGAATAGGAATAGCGAAAGAATAGAATAGAATATGGAATATAGGAATTCTATTCTACTCTACTCTTATGAATATCATAAAACAAGACAGTTACTGCACAGTTTTGAGCAATCAAGCTCACACAGAAGAGGGGGGAGTCAACCTATTCCCCAAAGCCCGTGAGGGCAGGACAGGAAATATTGGGCGGAAGGTTATTAAGAAATCCAAACTAGAACTAAGGAGAAACTTCCTGACAATGAGAATAATTAACTAATGGAACGGAAGTTGCCTCCAGAAGTGGTGGATGCTCCATCACTGGAGGTTTTCAAGAAGAGATTGGACAACCCTTTGTCTGAAATGGTATTTATTTATTTATTTATTTATTTATTTAATTTAATTTATATGCCGCCCTTCTCCCGACGGGACTCAGGGCGGCGCACAACATACTTAAAACCAAAACATATATACAATCCCCCCCTTAAAACCGAATTAAACCAAATTTAAAGTTGCGTCTTCCAAATTCCTAAAAAACCCAGTATAAAATCCTCCCTAGGTCAGGCCCGCTTGCTGGAAAAGCCATGTCTTGAGGGCGCGACGGAAGGTAAGGAGATCCGGAATTATCCGAATCTCGGGGGGTAGTTCGTTCCAGAGGGTGGGGGCACCCACAGAGAAGGCCCTCCCCCTGGGGGTCGCCAGCCGGCACTGCTTGGCCGACGGCACCCTGAGGAGACCCACTCTGTGGGAGCGTACCGGTCTGTGGGAAGGAATCT